AACCTTGGAGATTTGAAGCTTCGAAGACTTGCTCTTTCAGATCCGGTGCTCGGCGATCGTCCACGTCAAATAAGGCAGGAGTTCGAGAGGGATCGGATCTGAGATCTACACGATTATCCTCTGGATCAAAGCTTGGCCTTTGATCCCGAGAAGGCTATTATTTCCTTGGTGAAATAGTACCCCCTGACTGTTATTTCCTTCGTGAGATAACACCCATTATACCGTGTAGATCTAACCGGATCTAGATCGCGTGGTGGTCCACGGATTAACCCCGGCGCATGCAAAGAACCCACAAAAGCAAGAGACCGTAAAACAGGATCTTGCGATTCGTTCGAAAAAGGAAAGTTGTAATCTTTTTTATTCTTTTCTTTGATTTCGTTGTAACCGGATCTTATAAAAAGACCGGATCTTTGTAATCAAAAAACTGTTACTTGAGAGTGCAATGGAATCAATGAAGAAAACAATTTTTCCCGCGAACAGTCGGCTCTCCACAAATCACCGTGCTCCCAATCAAATAGTAAAAATTCTTATTTCTGATGCCCTTCATCACAATCATGGACCCAAATGTGACCTTCAAAGATGCATCCTCTAAGGTCACCCGATAGCCTACTGCCTCTAAAAATCCAAGTGAAATGATATTCTTCTTCAACTACGGAACGAACCTTACTTCATCCAACTCCCGAATCACCTTGTCACACATCCTAATACGAATGGTACCGATACCACCAATAGGACATTCATGATCATTATCTATGAGCACGACATCCCCTCAAAGTTAGAGAACCAATCCCTCCTAGGGCAAATGTGATAAGAAGCACCTGAATCCAACATCTACTCTGTAGAGTCGGCAATACAAACTGACGGTAGTATAGGGCATGAATAACCTAAAGAATTCGAAACTGAATTGTCGCCACTAGTCTTGGCAACATTCACCTCTGAAGCTTGAATAGCTTTCCCCTTATTCTTACCGGCTCGATCTGTTAACTTTGGGCATTCGGCCTTTCAATATCCATCTTCTTTACAAAAGGCACACTAATTCTTACCAACTACAAATTGTGCTCCTCTAGACTGTGATCTCCTACTACAGTTTGGATTCCTCCCTCTTACGACCAATGCCCCCATTACTGTATCAATCGAAGTCTCTTTATCCTTCTTCCGAAGCTGATAATTCACAAGTACAACAGTGACCTCACTATACGAAAGAGATATCTTCCCATTAATAAGAGTAAGAACGAAGGTCTCATATTCCTCGACGGGTAAGGAACTCAATAATAACAACGTCTTATCCTCCTCTTTAATCATAATATCTATATTCGCCAAATCCGTAAGAAGCTTCATGTAGTTGTTCATGTGATCACCAATGGATGTTCTCTTCTTCAATTGGAAGCGATAAAGCCTCCTCTTTAAATGCAAGTGATTTTTCACACTATTCGTCAAATACTTGCTCTCTAGGATCTCCCAAATCTTCTTTGCCGAAGTCTCATTGATCACATCATATTTCAAATCTTGTGTTAAACTCTAGGATCTCCCAAATCTTCTTTGCCGAAGTCTCATTGATCACATCATATTTCAAATCTTGTGTTAAACAAGACCTAATCATTGCCGAAGTCTCATTGATCACATCATATTTCAAATCTTGTGTTAAACAAGACCTAATCACACCACATGACGTACGATTCATCTTCTTCCAAACCTTCTCCCTAATGTCATCTGATTTTTCTTCTAACTCCAAAGTATCCTCTAAATTTTGTGCGTTAAGCACTTCCAAGACTTCACATCTCCAAAAACCAAAATCGTTAGTGTCATTAAACTTCTCCACATCTATCTTCATAGAGTGAATACTCAAACTTTGGACGGTCTTCATGCCAGAAGTACCCTCAATAACTCCTTCTTTCTCGGTCATCTTTCTCAAAGCACCAACAAACCAATGTAGAACAACTGTAGAATAGATCCAAACTGAAAAAGAGAGATTTTTACCTCCAACTTAAACCCTAACAAGAGCCTCCGAAAGATTTCACCCCCAGACGACGGAAGACAAGATCCACAATAGTAAAAATCCAACTTTTGTCACCAACTGAAACCCTAGACGAGCTTCCAAAGCGATCTACTCCTCCACCTAGCCCAAGCATAGCCAAAGCTCTGATACCATTTGTTATGGTCTGATACCACTTGTTGTGCTTCGAGGAACCAAAATAAACGCCGAGAGAGAAGGCCAAACAATCCAAAATAACATCACAAACACAAACAAACAAATTTTACATGGTTTGACAAGTTGTCTACGTCAACGGGGCAAGAAGGGGATGAGTTTTCACTAATAGAGAAGAAGAGTACAAATAGATATTACAAATCCATAAACTAATCTCTCACACAAAGCTCTCAATCTCTCAAACAAAACCCTAACCAATAGCTCCAGAAAAGACTATTTTCTGTGCTCCAAATATCCCCAATACTGCTCTCCCAAGAAACCCTAAATCGTGTTTGGTATTTATACCAAACTCAAAACCAAATCAGAACAGGAAACAAAGAACTGGGCCTAACCCGATACGCGGTCGACTACGACGGTCGATCGCGACAAACACAGAACCCAGAAAATTAACTGCAGGATTCGGCGGTCGACCGCGGCAATCGACCGCACCCAACTCCAGACTCTCGGGTTTGATTACAGGGTTTGGCGGTCGACCGCACCAAGTCCAGATTCATACCCAGGGTCTGTGCACGTATTCGGTCAACCGGCCTAGCACCGCGGTCAACCGAACATGACCAAAACTGTTCCCCTGCTTCCAAAACCTGTTCTTCTCCAATTTCTTCGCCAATTCTACAAGTTCCTCATCCCAAACTTGTCGTTGCACTTGCAAGTTACATACAAATCAACCACATACTATCTCACTCTCATCTCCACTGTGCAAACAAGTATAAGATCCCCCAGCTGTGGCCCTTGGCCCCCCTCAAGCACAATGTCGACTGCTGCAGTTCAAGGCTGCGCTTGCTTCACCTCTTGCATGCTTCGCTCACCAAGTCAAAGAGACCACTTACAGTTATACCCTCTCTTACAAGTACTCCTCCTCCTTCCACCCCTCAACTTATTAGGAACTCTCCAATCTTTGCTGCCCCTTCCACACTCACTGCTGCAGTGGTAACCAACATTTGCTTCTCCTCCCTTCTTGTCATCCTCATTTCTTGAAGTAATAATGCTAAGTGTCTTATAAATTTCTATGCTATTTTTATGCTATAAGAGTACATCTTCATGCGCTAAAAATCACATGAGTCCTAATTAATTTAGTTCCCAAGAAAAGATTCATATATTTGTATTTTATAGTACTAAAATAGTATAAAACTTACGTTACAAGTAGCATTGCTCTTTTGAAATTTGAAAAAACATTTGTTATACTTTGACTTAGTTTAGTGCCAAATGGCTGAAAAAACATATGAAAAGCTGTAATAACAATATCATACCAAAATCTTATGGTCTTCTATCAAGAGAAAAAAAAAATATATAACCACTCACATGTCCCGTTATCAATTATATAGAACAACAAGAGCAACATAAAATCAGTATATGAACAATCAAAATCCATACACGTTTTTAACTGAGCCAATAAATTTTTCAAAATTAATATTAAAACTCTAAACTAGTTTAGAAAAAATGGATAACTTAGACTCAATTTTTAAGTGATTGCTAGACACATCCTTAGATTTTTTTTTTTCTCCTTCCATGGCGTGCTCGCTGACCCTAGATTTGACCTTGTAGTAATGGGTCCCACAAATGAGTAAATTAAGCGTGTGACTCTGGGCAAAAAATAGGACTGGTCTGTTATCTGGAGCGCGTCCCACGGCCTGTAAACTTTTAACATCTCTTCCAACCCGTCGTCGGTCCTGCCGATTTTTAGTGGGATCCACATGTAAAGTGCAAGTGGTCCAAGATTGGTTCACAAATCTCCGTTCATTATACGCTAGTTTAAATTATTCCGTCGGCGCACCAGAAACGTCCGTTTTACAAGAAACGTAGGGGTGGGCAAAAACCGAAAAAAAACAGTTCAACCGAAAAAAACGCCCGAAAAAACGGATCGGTTAACCGAACCGAATTAAATGGATGAGAAGAAGTCTCTAAACCGCCCGAACCGAATTAAATCGGTTTGGATCCGGTTTGAACCCCTGAACCGCCCAAAAAAAAACCGACCCGAATTCTGTTGGGCGGTTTAGAGACTAAACTTATACCTCAAAACTTTTCCTATTATCATCCAATAGATTCAAACTGCGCAATGAGCAACTTCAAGCAATGAGTACAACAATATCAAAGAAAAATATCCTTGAGAACTAAGTAAAGATTCAAACCAATCCAGAAAATTTGTTATGCACATGATGCACTTACAAAAGATGCATATGCTACATTATATGAACAATATCATACAAAACATCACTCCCCCGTGTAATTAAATAAACTTAAACTTTAGTTTAAAAATTTCCCAGAAAAGATCTTGAGAATTACATAAGATTCAAATCAATCACAAAATGTGTTATGTACATGATACTTACAAGAGATAAGCATGCTGTATTATATGAACAACATCTTTAAAACATCAGTTCTCTGCGTAAATATATCAACTCAAAACTTTATTCTAAAGATGATAACCAGTCTAATAAAGCTTTGTTTGCGAGCTCAGGAACCTCATCATGAGGACAATGCTCAGCTTGCAAATTCGCAACATAAGTCTTTGGATAGAACTCTTTGCAAATTCAAAACCGAAACCGAACCGAACCGAACCGAATTTCGGTTAGGCCGAATATTCGGATGAAGGGGAAAAAATCTGGATCTGGATGAGAGTTTTGAGAATCCGAAAAATTCGGATTGGATGCGGATTGGGCATAAAACCGAACCGAACCGAATATGCCCAGCCCTAAAGAAACGTATAAAATGAGATCCATCCGGCCATGGTCTTCTCTCAATTCGTTCTCCTCCTCAACTCCAGAACTTCTTCTACCGCGCCCCCCCCCCCCCCCCCAAAAAAAAAAAAAAACTGCAGCTATCCAAACACCACCCTCTCTTTTACAGTAAATCTTTCTCCTACTCCCAGCTAATTTGATTCCAATTGTGTTTGAATTAGGAATATTCTAATGAATGATCAGAGAGTAATCTTACGATTACGCATCAACCTTTTTTTTCCAATTTTTAAAAATATTGGCATTAATTATGTAGGAAATGGACGCGGGGGAGAGGATGAATACTGGATTCGAGCACTTCAAGAAGGAGATCTACGAGTGAGTTTTTCCAGCTTAATTACTAAAATGCCACTCGATTTCACAAATTATTAATGATTGGTCAACCATTAGCTGCGGACGATAAGTGATCACGAATTTTCTAAGTAGGTGTGACATGCCCCCGCATTTTGCATAAAATTGCAGGAAAAAACCGGAGCTTTTCAGCGAGCTTGCTAAGGGCCAGAGCCCCAAGGTACGAAATGGTAGAGTTGTCATATGGTTATAATGAAAGTGCTTTTCTCGAAATTTAAATAAAAAGTACGTCTTATTGTCAGAAATTGCGATGCCTAACTACATTTTATTATTATTATTATATATTGTTTAATGAAAGTACACTTTGACGCGGGAGGGAACTTTCTATTCTCCAGTCTGAAAATGGCTGCTTCCGCGATTCATTATTAAAAAAGTTAAACTTACCTTTTTTCTCTATTTGAGTAATTATCTTTTCACCATGTAAAATTTTTAAGAACAGAATAAGAGTTAGTTTGATATTGCTTTTTTAATGGTGTTTCTGTTTATTTTTTCCATAAACATTCAATAATAATGTTTGATAAAAATATTTTTAGCATGCGTATTGAAATTACTTATGCTTTTAAATTTTACTTTCAGAAACAACTTGATGAGGCTTTTAAACGCAACTTCTACTTTTTTAGTACTAGTTGAGATGCATGTGTAATGCACGTGGTTAAATATCATGATTACTTAAATTGATAAAAATAGAACAAAAATAAAAAAGAAAACAAAGTTTTTTGTGGGATTGATTGTCAACTCAATAATCTCTTTCTCAAATAAAATATTGTTATTGTTTCATTCAACCGAGACTATGGTTACGTGATCTACTATTTGTGAGTTATAAATACATTAATTTAGGACAACATCTCTGTTTATTAGTATATTGAAGTCTTCAAAATATGGGTGATCATTCAATTCGCAAAAAATTTTGCATATGAATTTACTTGCAATATATACATTAAATTTTTAGCTGTGGTTTGAGTCATATTCATATTAACTTGTAGTTGTAGTTTTACTCATATTTACATTATCTAATATTCTCATTTAATTTTATAGCTCATTCTCTGTACCATAAAAGTAAAATTAAAAATATAAAGAATTATTTTCTTACGAAATTAGAGTAGGGAGATTATTATATATTACACCATGTGTTCTAAATATAAAATTTTATTTTTTCTTTGATGCAAGGTCCTTGTCAAATCTGCACCAAACGATGTGTATGAAAAATACTATTATAACTACTTGCCTAGGTTAATTGTATTGTATATATGGCATATAACTTATCTAGAATATCCGCATCTGCTAAGTAAATTTTACTGTTGTGAAAGCAAAATGTTAGAGGCTCGCATTCAAATTTTTGTCTTAGTAAAAGACACAGTATACACACACACACACACACACACACACGCACGCACATGTGTGTGTGTGTATAGTGAGATGGTCATTCTACACCGTTAGATTCAAATTAATGGTTAGATTTAAACTAATGGGTTAATTAATTAAAGATATGTGGCCCTCACATTTATTTGATTTTCCTGTCAAATCTTCTCTAGCCGTAATCTGAACACAAACCATAACCCGAGCCCTAACCCAACCCGAACCCTAACCCAACCCGAACCCTAACCCCACCCAAACCTGAACCCATTAATGCTAACTCTAACCCTAACCTAACTTGAACCCGAACCCACTAACCTAACCCTAACCTGAACCCTAATCCAAACACTAACCCTAACCCTAAATCCAAACACAGCCCCGAATCCGCTAATCCTAAACCTAAACCTGACCCGAACCTAAAACTGAACCTTGACCCTAACCCCTAACCCGAACCCAAATAAGAAAGAAAGGATGTGGGAAGGAGGATATGGAAAATCTCAGAGAAGATTTGGTAGAGAAATCAAATAAATATGGGGGCCAAATACCTTTAATTATTTAACCTATTAGTTTAAATCTAGCACGATGTAGAATGTTCATCTCACGTTAAGCAAACCATCTCACAATCTCATCCTATTGG